GTGAGTACATTTCCCTCCAAAAACAACAAAAACAACAACAACAACGTCGGCTCGGCTGCGGCGATTAGTCGTGCAAATCAAGTGCAGTTAAGGCCAAGGTCCGAGCGGATGCAAATGCATGGTGCTGGCTGGACGGCGCCTGTCTCTCTCCCACACACACGGAAACGTGGGGGTGCGAGGGAGACAGCGCGACACAGCGCTGTTCGGAGCGGGACTGCAGGTGGGTGACTTTCCCAGGGGCTGCGCGATGAATATGGACTCGTGATATGGTGAACAGTGCCGGGGCTTTTCGGCTGTGCCCAGCGAACCGAGGGGCCCGCTCCAAATGTTCGAGGCTAGACTGAATTCCGGAAATGTTTTCCGGAAAAGGGGCGGACGTAGGTAAGCAGGCTCGGACTGGCCCCCAAAAGGCCCCAGCGGATAAGATCGCAAAAGGCCCCCGATCATCATTATGTTTTTACCCTTCATGACCAACTTTGTGAGGCTACCGCTCCCAAACTAGTTGCGGTCAATAACCTTCCCGATACAGGGCATGAAAAGAGTAGGGTCTTAAGAATACTAGGGCGTCGAGGGAAGCCTTTTACGGCTATTAGATTGGACACAGTGGCCGCCCAAAGTCAGCAAAATCAGCAAATTTCCGAGATTCGACCACCTTTTGACCAACTTAGTCGGAAAGTCGTTGCGGTCAAAGCCAAAATCGTTGTGGTCAACGTCTTCCCGATACAGGGCATGAAAGAGTAGGGTCTTAAGAATACTAGGACGTCGAGGGAGGCCTTTTACGGCGACTAGATTGGACACAGTGGCCATCCAAAGTCAGCAAAATCAGCAAATTTCCGAGATTCAACCACTTTTTGACCAACTTAGTCGGAAAATCGTTGCGGTCAAAGCCAAAATCGTTGTGGTCAACGTCTTCCCGATACAGGGCATGAAAGAGTAGGGTCTTAAGAATACTAGGACGTCGAGGGAGGCCTTTTACGGCGACTAGATTGGACACAGTGACCATCCAAAGTCAGCAAAATCAGCAAATTTCCGAGATTCAACCACTTTTTGACCAACTTAGTCGGAAAATCGTTGCGGTCAAAGCCAAAATCGTTGTGCTCAACGTCTTCCCGATGCAGGGCATGAAAGAGTAGGGTCTTAAGAATACTAGGGCGTCGAGGGAGGCCGTTGACCGCAATTAGATCGGACGCAGTGGCCGCCCAAAATCAGCGAAAACGGCTACTTTCGTCCTATATATACTAGGACTCTTTGACCAACTTTGTGACGTTACTGGTCCCAAACCCGAAAGGCCCCGGCAGATTTTTCTGCCTGTCTGCCCTGGCCAGTCCAAGCCTGTAGGTAAGCGAAGGGCTCTTTCTGCGGTACCTGTGTCGTCTGCTCTGTCGTCTGCTTCTTCACGTGGATGTCGTTATACGGGGCCTGCAGCGCACGGGGCGCGGTCTGCGGCAGCGACAGGCAGACAGACCGACGGGCGGGCGGACGGACGGACTGGCAGCCACACACACAAAGCCGAGCTAAACTTTTAATTATGTCCCCGACGTGAATCCAATGGGGTAGCAGCGCACTTGCCTGCCGTCTGCGGTGTTTTGTTGACCTCTGAATGAAAACTCCATTCGGGGCATTTCGTCGCTCTTTCAGGACCGACGACGACGACGTCGGTCGTGTAGGGGCGGGCCCGGCGACGGGGGTTTACACACACAGCGGAAAAGCGCGCGAAAGGTTTGAATATACGAGATCTTTTTGCATTCCCGAGCCCACTAATGAGGATCTGGGCGCACAATGCGAAAAGGGGGAGGGGGAGGGAGGGGGGCTCCAAAGACTCCGGGGGGCGCCTGCTGCGAGTGGGAAGAAAAAAGGGGAAAAAAGGCGAGGGGCTCAAATTTATCTTCAATTACAGGGAGAAAAGATCCCGCCGCGACCGTTTCGGCATGCTGCGCGTGTGCTGGGAGCGAGAGAGAGGGAGAGACAGAGAGAGGCAGTGGGGGTGAGATCATATTTCGCGGTGCATTTTAAATTGAAGCAAGTGGAAGAATTACAAGTAGAAGGTTAGGGCCTCGGGGGCTAGGGCGTTACAACCGCGTTGGCACGGAACCGCTGTTAAGGCTGTCGGGGCGATGGTCTCTCTCTCTCGCTTATTTTTTTTCAGTCCTCTTTCTCTCTCTCTGTCTCCCCCCTCGGCCGCTACTACTTGTGTTGCGTTAAGGTGACAGCGTTGGCCGTCGCGTTTCGCTCATGTACTCTTTTCATTAAGTGCGCGGCGGCAGAGGTGCGAAGGGGGGAGTAGAAAGGAGGAAGAGAGAGGGCAGCGCCGGCAGCGAGGTGGCACACTGCTCCCCGGAAGTGAGCCGGGCCTGATCGCTCCATAAAGCAAGACACCTCGATTGAGCACGCGGGGAAAGGGAGGGAGGGGGGCTATTACGGTGTGGGGCCGCGTACTTCTTGAATACTCCGGGGACGCGTCGTCGTCGTCGTCCACGCCGCGCTCGCCGCGCAAACTTTGTCGATTTACTTGCCACGAATTTGAATCATTCCGCCTCCTTAAGTAACCCTGGAGGGCTTGCGCTGCGCGCCGAGCGGCTGGCGAGCGCTGAGGGTGGTGGCGGACCAGACCAGGTTGTTGCTGGCCGAGGCCGAGTACCCCGTCGTCCTCCTCCTGGTGGCCGTGCTCGTCCCTGGAGGTGCGGCGCGCGGATTACGTATGCAGCGCCGCTTCCCCCGGCACTCCACGGAAGCCGACACCGCCACCGCGTCTCGGGGGGAGCGAGGCGGGGCGGGCTGCCTTTTGCTTCGACATGCACGATTGACACGGCAAAGTTTCGGGCCTTCCGCGAGCCGCGATCCGCAGATTACAAGGGGACCGCTTGGAGCGCCATCGAGAGCTCGGGTCGAGAGCTCGGATCGAGAGCTCGAAGCGCGCGGAACTCGAAGGGCGGACAGGGACACGCAGCCCCCACGTTTTTGCAAATTGGATCTCGGGCAATAGCGGTGCATCGGGGCTCCCCTGTGCCCTTCATCCCGTTTGCCCGCTTGATGCAAGTGTGTGCGTCGGTGTGTGTGCGTCGGTGTGTGTGCGTGCGTTACAGTAATGCAGTCTGCGACTGACTTGGTGCCTACACTGCACGCGACAGCAGCGAGCCGCACAGCAGTGTCGCGCGGGTCATTAACATCCCCTCTGTGTTCGGCACAATTGCCGCATTGATGAACATCGCCGCCCCCCTCCTGCAGTGCCCTCTGGTGCTCGGCCGGCCCCACTATAAATGTCCGGCCGGTCGTGCAGCGTCACCTCCTTGAACCGCTCTGTCTCTCTCGCACCCCCTAGGCACGCTGCGCGAGTGCGAGAGAGACGGACAGAGTGATGTTGCAAACCTTGAAACCGCGTGGTCGTCCGCGTCGTACTGCCGGCCAGACGGTCCACTGTAAACAAAAACTGTCGCGAGCCTATGAGAGCAGCACACCGTGACGCACTGTGAAAAAAGCAATGTAAAAATTTTTTAAACGCTACACGACGCTTAACGGCGTCCCCACCCCAGCCCGCCCCTATGTGTAGCACAGTGAGGCTTCCGGCCTGGACACGGCCATGGAGGGCTGGAGCCCGGCCGGGCCGGGGCCCCCGAGGAAATTAAGAGCAACGACACTGTCGGCACCCATCATTGGCCCGGCCGCGGACAACTTTTGTCTCGGCGTTTTGTTTTGAAACGGACAGTCGGACAGACAGACAGACAGACAACACACACTGTGCGCCCTCCCCTCGGCAGACGCTCCGCCTCGCGCTCCGCCCCCCATCCAAGTTTCATCCCCGGATGCCCAAGTTGCGATAGTAATTATTTAAAGCCCGCGCGTCATCTGCCGGCGGCGTCTGCTCGCGTCGTCTGCTGGTGTCGCCGGCACATGTTTTGCCGTGTGTACGTGCACTGTACGTACGGTGTACGTACGGTGTACGGCATGGCGCTGTCTGTCAGCCACACCGACGCATGAATGAACGATTACGGTGCACGTGTGTGCGTGTGTGTGTGTGTGTGTGTGTGTGTGTGTGTGTGTGTGTGTGTGTGTGTCAAGCCATTCCCACCACTGCTAAATTCTACCGTCGTTTTCCTACCCCGCTGGTTTTCGGTCCACCTGGTTCGGCGCGGCTTTTGGAGAGTTCTGGTCTGATTGGCAGTGCCGAACCGCCGAACCGGGTTCTCCAAGAGTCCCATTCAAACTGGCGCGCAGCGCTAGCAGTGGCGCGCCACTTGCAGGAAAGTTTGGCGCTCGGTCATCCCGCCACTGGGATTATTCCCCGAGTTTCTGCCACAAGAGTACAGCTGTTCCTCTAAGCAAATAACTCCCTCTTTTCTTACTCCGTCTTCTGTCCTTGTTTTCTTTCCGTCGTGTCTCAAGTTGAATATTTATGTCCATTGTCCCTCTTTCTCTCTTTTTTTCTCTCGCTCTCTCGCTCGCTTCTCGCTCCGGGAAATATTGCCGCAAGGACGTAATGACAGGAGTTTGAAAAGTTTGGCTGCGATTCGCGCGGATTAGGAAAGGTATGAAGGGATTGGCCTGGCCGTCTCTCTCGCACTCGCGGGCCGCCCCGCAGGCCACGGCTCAGAGAGAGAGAGAGGCTGTGAGCCAATTAGGCACTGCCGGGAAGCAAAGGTTTTCGCGGCCAAACTTTTGCCAATATCAGTTCAAAAATGCGCTCCGCCAAGAAAACCGCCCGGCCGCTTGGGCTGCAGGTTGGCCGAGTGAAATGGTTCCTGTGCCGTTTGTTGCGGCCGCGCCATTTTGTTGTTGTTTTTGTTGTTTTTGTTTTTCGTCCCCCGCCTGTGACTGCAGCATGAAATGTGTGCGCTGTCGCTGCGGCGATGTGGATGCAGAGTTTCGCCAAAGGGCCCTCGAAGAGGCGCCCTTGTTTATGGCGAGTTTGTCAAGTCCAGAATCCCGCCCGCCGACCGTTTGCCTGCATAATTTCCAACAGTGGCGCGCGTGTGTGGGTGTTGTTGCTGTTTCCGCGCCTTTTA